TTTGCTCACCTTAAGCTGGGACCTCCGCCAACTTTACGGATTATTCAAACTTTGTTGCAGATCATAGCTCATTAGCTTGAATAGGGGGGCCATACTATTGAGAAATCGCTGATCAGTGATAGAACACAAATAGCGTAAATTTTTTGAATATCATGCATAAATAAGTAGCAGGGCTGTTGATTTCACTCAGAATTCTTTGGCATTCGTTATAGTGCACACATTAGAAATTTGTTTTCGAGTTGATCTATCTCTAGCAAATCATCTAGATTTCCAGAATGCAAGTCGCTTATACAATAACCTTTTGTGCATGAGAAACCATGAAGTCTAAAGACTGACAGTGCAATCAGTTTAACTGACGACGGTTGTCGTGATAACTTTTCAGAGCATTTGCTGGGTCAAACCAAAACTTATCACAGGGATGACTGCATCACTAACCATATTGTTTTGCCCCATATTGATAAAATAAGAGGATAAGGGACGAAGCTCGCGGCATTAATCAATCTCCAAGAGATGCGCTATGCAATCGTCTCCAATTTTTAGCTTCGCTTGAGGTGATTGAATGCATATCTGGCTTTCACAATGAATCAGGGAGCTTACCAATGTATCATCCCAGTGCTGCTATCTTCCTAAACAAGTCTGGTAGCAATTCACCGATACCGAAGAGGTGGAAGGCTTTGTGAGCCTTGGGAGCAAGATGAAGCCATCAAATTTCGACTGGACAATCATGTGCGTTGCAAGTACCTCGAACCGCTGTGCCACCAGCGCACTTCTATTGATATCATATAGACTGATAAAAAAGACTATCAACAGTAATATACCGATTATTCAAATCAAAATGAAGTGAAAATTCGTTTAGCAAAGTATCAAAAGATAATCGTTCTGCTGTTGACCATTAGAAAACCGAGCAAGTGTGTTTTTCAGGGGAAGTTTTTTCTTTTAAAACAATAAAAGGCTAATTTTGTCAAAACATGCCGTCGAAATGAGGAATTAATTATGTTTTGTAATGTTCGATTCTATAAGAAAATTATTGGCGAAATGTGAATGATTTGATTACCAGCCATCAGTTTGTTCATTTCACTCTTTTTCACGGCGATCAAAGTGCTGTTGTGTAATTTTGTAGAAATGCATCCGCTCATCAATTTCCTCTCTTTGCGGCGATTAACGACGATTGCTAGTTCACAGGCTTGGATAACCACGTATACTTCATTTGTCTTATTCTTTTCTAAACACGATAAGCTCGCACTATTTTTCACACATTATTCTGCCAAATTTTCTGGAAATTACTTAGATATCAAGCATCACAGATCGAACATCGAGCAAGATTTACAACAGTGCTTAGGATACGTAGAAGCCTTTTTCGTGAAACAACATATTTCTGCTGCTTTATATGAGGACTTGCGCTAGCTCCGCCATGATCTCAGAAATGAAGCTTCTAAGAGGTTTTATACGAGTATTTAAGATGACGCATTCATTTCTTTTGTAATAGAGACAGATGCGAGGCATTTTATTAGATCGAAGTAGATGTTATTGATAGAGGAAATCGGTAACTACCTAAGCGCCTCACCGAGGTATAGAGCGTTTTTGAGAGCAAAGATAAACGTGCCACTGAATATACTGAATAACATATATATAATATATATATATATATATATATATATATATATATATTATACTGTGAATATACTCAATATATATAGTATCAGTGAATAATTTATACTATATAGCATATATAGCATATATATCATATATATATCATATATATCATACATATATACCAAATATATACCATATGTATAAATATATGTATATTAATTTATACTATCAGTGAATATATATTATACGCTGTGAATATACTGCATATGTATACTCTCAAAATATGTATATATATATATTATATATATATAAATATATATATATATATCAGAATATCTAGACTGAATTTCGTAGTACTGTTACAACGATATTGGACAAATCGCTGACGGCTAAAGTTTCTCTAGAAAAGTTATCCACTGGCATAAAGTAATCAATATTCTTTATGACTTTGCGACTTCACCCTTATCTCAAAACTGTCAGTTTCTCTGTTTTACGAGGAAAAGAATTGAAACATTTGGCTGTATGAATGAAAACCTTTCATCTCGTCTTTCCTATGCGTCATCTTGGTGCATAGGCGTCTCAGAATTCTAATCAAATTGAGTCAGCATTTTTCAGTTCGTTAATGTCCGATGAGTTCCGTTTGTTGCTCAAGAGGACAAGCTTCAAAGTCCAGTTCGTGTTAATGGGACATTTACTACGCCCCATCTGCCACTATTGCTGCATACCCAAAAGGGCATTTTTTCTCCAAAAGCCATAAATGGTATTCAATGGAACGTGTCCGACTATTTCGTACATGATGTTTTAGAATAAATCACGTTGTCTTCAGTAGGAACTTCCGAAGCAACTGTGCATAGAGAAATTCCGATTTTTTGTTTAGGTTCTAGCTGCATGAAATAATACAAGACTTAATCAGCATCCTCTTGCATATTTTTGAAACCTTTGTATTTGTTTGACTTTTTGGCTGGATGTACTCAAGGACAGGTTCGAGAGTTATTGCGGAGACTTCGTGTGCTCATAGGTTTCTTACACCGCATAACTCAAATGGATATATATATATATATATATATATATATATATGTACATATGTATATACATGAGCAAATACAAAAGATTAAATTATTGTCGTTTGCTCAACTCAAGAGGAGATGGATAAATGTTTTGAGTTGTTGAATTTCAGTGAGAGTACACAAAGTTAACCCGTAAGAAACCGAAAGCAAATTGGTTCCCATTTTCGAACGTTCAGATTAGCTCCTTCAAGAATTCCTACAACACAAAGTGATACCGCAAGCCAAACACAAAAACCTCCTGGTCCATTACCTATATTATCATCCATCACACACAAAATGCATTTATGAAAAACAAGTTCCGAACAGCTGTTAGTGTGTGCACAGGAAAAGAACATAAGATAGAGGATCCTAAGCTTGGCGCGAAAAATAGCCATCTCTAATGGCTACAACACGGTAGGGGCTCCTCAGGTTAGGATTAGGAAAAATTCGGCATCCCCATACGGAAGGTCTGGCGAGGATAAAGTCCCATTCATCCTGCCCTTTATCTCGAACAAAGTAAGTGCAGCAATTAAACGCTGCTTAAAAAGAGCGGGTTTGGATAGTTCGGTAGCAGTAATCGAGATACCACCAAATACACTTAGCCCAATTAGTCCGCAACTCGACTGCATGACCGCCTCTGCGAAACGAAAGACTGCAAAGTTTGCCCAAACGGCAGAGGCGGCGATTGTATGAGATCTGGTACAACTTACCTGATCTCTTGCGAGGTATGCGTGGATGAATATATTGGCGAAACGGGTAGACCACCCTGCATCCGCGTAATAGAGCACCTAGCTGGGAAACGTAACTCCGACTCAAAAACCCCACTAGGCACTCATAAGGAACAGAGGCATAAAGGAGCAGATTTTGACGTTGAATTAGCGATCCTGGCACAGGTATCAAAAACATCCTTGCTTAAGACTTTGAAAGCCTTTTGGATACATAGCAAAGGCCCAAAAAAGAATTGCAAGGAGGAGTGCCTCGTGATAACGCGTGACATAGCACCATATCTCAGGCTAATCTTCCCGGCCTGAGCAGGCATAGTCTCACTTGCGCAGTGATTCTAAGTGGCAGGTCATCATTGAATAATTGAAAGACCTAAAACATCTGAGCGGGTGAGTGTGTTTTTGTAATGAGGTTTTTGCTATGCGATTCAAAAATCCGTTTCTTACGTTTTCTACTAAGGTTAAGGAGGCTTTTGACTGAATAATTTGCGATTCAATTTGACCTTCCCAAGCTCTGAAGATGGTGAACCTTGCCGAAACATAAGCTACCACGACTGTTGTAATATTTATGCTGCATTATTAGCTGTATTGTTATATGCTACGCTGATTTTCAATAAATAATATCAATAACACTTCGGAAGGGCTAAACAGAAAAAAATACTCAGACATAAATTGAAAATAAATCAGAAAGTAGAAATTTCGCTTGGTAGAATACCAAGCTCGATGAAGCGATTGCGATTACATAAAGCAACATGTATGGCTTATGCATGTATTTAGTGTATGCGTATACGGGCCAATTCGAAAATCTTCAATGAATATACTCCATTCACAACTTCCTCTCTACCTGAATGTATGAGTGGCCCACTTTCATATACCATGAAAGTCATGTTGTCAACAGAGCAGTTTCACTTGGTTTCTAAATGCTAGCTGGCTAAGATTCTCTTCTCACCCCCTCCATTCTTGAAAGAAGTCCAATTGCTGTCTCACATATTCGTCAAGATTTGTTGTTATTTATGTTGTGCTTAAGATGACAGCTATTCTCGGTTTCCATGATGGTTAGCATGATGCAAACTTTCGACCCGAGGCGGAAGTTGAAACACGTGTTTTCCCATACCGCGAGTGCGTGCTACCATTAGATTAGTCCCAGTCAAGATAACAGATATTATGTATATTATGCAGAATATGTATATATATATATATATATATATATATATATATATAGTCTGTATTAATCATTATTTTACTGCCTTACAGCAGTGTTTTGATGTTGCAATTTCATGTCTAAGGATGATTTAGAAAACTGTCAACTACAGGCGAGGTGAACCCGTGTTTCACCCATACAGGAAGTTGATTCCAAGATGGAAAAGTCAAACTCATTCTCAGCTGGAGAAATTTAACTGCGGTGTAAAGCTTGCTATGCAACGATGATGAGCAACTAATAATAGTGTTCAGCCATAGTAAAGTTATGGAGAAATTTATCAGAAAACTCTCTTCAAAGCAAAAATAGAATTCCCCTTCCACATTATGAATTTTGTAGATATTTTCTTTACATTACCATGGTATTTTTTCATCTTGACCGCCACTTGCGGTGTTATGATGGTACAATATATCCAATAGTGCAGAGTGCTGTGCAAATATTTGCATCAGCCGGGATTCGAACCCAGATCTCACTCTTTCCAGGGGGCGTACGCTTACCACTGCACCAACGACGTTCGTTTTGCACAGCACTCTTTCTACGCTACAACGCGTTATCTTACTCCACTCATTAAGAAATGGTTGTAGGAAAAGTCCTGTCGTAATTTCAAAATGCATAGAAAAATCTAATAGTACACCAATCAGCTTAAGCAAGAAACAAATTAATAGTCAAAGTAGTCTCGTACCACATCGTCCTCTTTACTGAAGAATGTACCAATCGTCATTCGATCACAGTCAAAGTCGTCAATCAACATCCAGCAATTCATCGGTGGATTGGATCTTCTTCAGTTCGATTGATGACTGTTTGGCAATCAACTTATCTTGGACGTTTTTCTTTTGGCCTCTTGGTCAATCGATCTACTACTCACGGAATGTCCTGAACCAACGTTGAGTTACGAGCATCGCAAATTTTGTCACCACAGGTCTTGGAGACTTGTCGGTGAGCCTCAAAAGCGTTGACGCCCATTTTTATTTTAGTTCATATTTTTGGAAATAGAGCAGCACAGGAATTTCTTCCCTGGATAGTTCCATTCTAAAGACTGTGTAGAGAAATGATAATCGTTCGATGAACAAAAAGAGCTGTCTGATGAGCTCAAGTTCGCACAAATACAAGTACAAAAATAACTTTCTTAGGTAATACGACAGAACTTTTTCTGCAATCCGAAACTACCTTATTTAGTCTCGATAATAGCCAACACAAGCATTGCGATTGTCTGTTTTGATTCACATCTCGATGTCCGAATAACACATGACCAAAAGCTTATGATTATGTACAGCACTGAGTGATAGGCACGTAATCGTATTGAAATTTTGAAAGCATCAAGCATTGGTCGAAAGTCTACACTTACGCCTACATGAAATTTTTTTGCAGACGATTACTCGATGGAAGCAATAACATTTCAAAGCCTCGAGACATCGTAAAAGTGCAGGTGGCGTACATGGAATCCGTCTGTGCTATTTATGTGACTATAAAGCAATTTCACACATCATCAATTTAAACCCTTTTCATACCATCAACCATTAAAGCCCACTTAGTTCAGTTAACATCTGAATAGTTTTGTATGATTATGAATGGGTCTCTGTCTCATTCATTCTTAGCGTTGAATAGAAATGAGCGATTTTATGACAGTAAACCTCGTTTTGAACCAGTGACTGCTTCTAGTAATGACTTCAAAATGCCATAAAACGAGTTTTCCAAATACCCAAGAAAAAGTTGGCCTATTCAAGCAGAAAAGTGCAGCAAGTAAAGGCAGTTCAGCCGTTTACTACTTGGTGACCTAATTGGATTGCATTGATTCCCTATTCACTTCGATAGCCTTCTTATAATATCTTCTCAAAGTCGACAGATAGGTATTGTTACGTATGCCCACGTAATAACCGAACGCTAAGCAGTCGACAATCAATCACTCTGGAAGAGCATCATGCTGAATGATTAGTTCACTTGACACAGAGTGTAACTTCTTCGGTGTCGATTCTTCAAAATATTGTAGTAGGGAACGAGCAGCCAAATGTGCTGACGTCTAGCACTACAAGCGCCATACCAGACCTCATGATAGGCTGAAAACATTGTATCACACTATCTTTATAAAGCATATATCAGAATTGAAATAATCTGATGCTCTTATGTTCAGTAACTCTGCACGCAGAAAGCAAAATAATTGAAATTCGTCTGACAAAACTAATGAAACATCACATCCATCAAACGTCATATTACAAACAACACTCGTGAATAATCGAAGGAAATGAAATCATTGTGTGAACATTAAGAGCGAATACCAAATTAACGATGGCGTCATTTGATAATTAGTTCGAGGATGACTGAATAGACATGAAAATTACTCTTATGTAGTGTCGAAAACGTAAAGGCTAGAGATAGCGTAATAACACATGCATGATTGCTAGTCTGACCCCGCCCTGGGACAATCACGCTTCTCCATCATCCGGCATCTTTCATAGTTAGCAAACTGGGCACAGTTTGCCTAAAGAAAAGCTCCCTATCACAAAGAACGGCGACTGCGTTCTCTGAGATAGGTAGGGACAGTCCTTTATCGCAATTTCAGAGAAAATTAGCGGAATTCAACGGCATTCTTAGAGAATACAAAATTTTCGAGTAATACGTAAACCCAAACGCGGACGCGGCTTGATTGACAAGTAAAGACATCGAACTAAACGAAGGGTTGAAATGGCACAGTATGCGAAAAATGAGGTCATCTGAGTGAATTACAAAAAAAAAAAAAGTTTTACACGGCGAGGAATATTTCATATAACCATGTGCACACATTATTCTCGCAATTCTCAATCGTTTAATTGTCTTGTAAAAAACATCCATATAGATTTTCAGAAGAAGTCGTCCGCCCGTTCGAGGATGACAGTGTAGCAGATGTGAATCTAGCGGCAAGGCACTTAGTGAGGAAAAATCACAAGATATTGGCGACTCTTTTAGCTTTTTTAGTTAACCGGAAATGAAACAATCTCAGTAAGGTACTTGTGATACAGAGGGGAAAAGTGGGAATGGCTCAACGTCAATAGGAAATGACATTGCTGTCGGCGCTGAGTCAGTTCATCGGAACAAAAGGCAACATTTCTGAGGTTGAAAAAGTCATCTTCTTCGCATATTGTTAGAGCCTTGGTCAGAGTCAATGAGATAAACAAAAAGAATCCTCAAATAAAGGGCTCAAATAAACAGCGCAGGATAAAAACATGCAAATTACCAAGACAAGGAACTCTCTTATGCTTCATCATCTTACAAGGAAAGTTTTTTCTTCATTGGTCAGCTAATATCACGACAGAAACAGCATTTGAAAAAACATCTAACAGCTACATCATTTGTTTCCAGTCTATGAATCAAACACTTTTGGCGGAAAAAGTGGAATCTATGTATACAATAATGTTGAGCGAATGAAACCCTTGAACTTCAAGTAGGAGTTGAACCCGCGTTTCAATCTTTTTGTGAGCAAATACCAATTCAACATTATTTAATATATAGATGCGACATCATGCTACTCCTCGACACACTTGAATAAAGTTAAATAAACAGTCAAATGAAGAGTCCTTGACTGTTGTATAAAATTTAGCCCATTTTTTTGGGGAGCTAATTAATAATTTTCGAAGCCCTTGAATGGAAGAAAAAGTGAGTTCGACTTGGTTCTATAAGAGACAAATGGGCTGATGTCTAATAAAATTTGCAGCAGAGAGTTTAAAGAAAGGAAAAAAACATGGATCTGCACCATACGGAGGCGTCATGCTCCATCACCATTCGTAGCGTCATAGAGGTGACTGCGTGCATGTTTGTCTCATGCAATGGCCCTCCAGGAAGCACTGATGTGTCATAGTCACTTTTTTTCATCCTTCCATGAAAGTCTGACTTTATTTCGCCAGCTTGGAAGGAATAAGAAACCTGGTTGGCCAGCTGTGTAGTAGAACTAGGCAGTTGTCATTATGCATGTTGTGGAGCGTCATCTCTGTCACTGCTTTACATGCTTACACTTTGTAGGGTGACGACTTGAATGAAATTTGAAAAATATAAGCAAAATTGAAGTTCCTGGAAATCCGAAGTACCAGAATGATTCCGGTGTTCCAATAGAAAGGATGGTTTGTAATGTTTAGATGTACTTATGCAAAACGGGCAGTGTTTTCGTTTCTGTGATAAATAAAGACCTCAGATGTGGAAGCACAGATGAGTCATGCCGTTTTTTACCATTATTTGCATTCCAAATATATTCGCAGGTTGTAAGGACTGGTACGATCACTCGCTACTTGGTTACTGTGATTTTCTGTAATGCAGATTGATGAAAAGATCCTAGATTCTACGACCTTTGCCATCAGACGTCAATTGGCCTCACAGAGGAGAAGTCGGGGAAGATTTTGAGGAATAATCTTATATTTCGACTCTCCCATCATAAAAGAAAGAACGAGGGAAATGTCGAGGAAAGATCTTAGTCATACTGCCGACCAAGCGCACCATAAAAGAGGACAACTATCAGCAAAAACTGCATAAAGGTCGTACCTGTTACGGTGCTACGATAAATTTATTCTGCAAGAAAAAACTCTATATGTTTTTTCTCATGAAAGGAGAGCGCAACGAGACTGTATTCCAGCTAGTAATTCAAAGACAACGCCAATCATAGGGGCTCAACACTCACTGAACGAAAGCCAGCACTAGTGTTAGCTGTTGAACCACTCTTCTCAATACTCCTTCTGAAGCCTTTTTGCTTTTTACAGTCAAACTTGATTGTAGCTATTTCAGGATCACATTTTTCTATAAACGCGCATTTTCGTGGATATGGAAAAGCACTCAGTTGAATCTGATTTCCAAAAAATACTTACATCATCAGATAAACAAAAATGTTTTTCCAGCTTCTCTAGATTTCAAGAAAGAAAGGAAGTATTAGCAGATGTGGTAGACAGTGCAGTATGCAAATCGAAAACCTCTGTTTATTCTTATTCATCACATAACCCGACATTTCATGCATTATATTGTGTAGATCCGAGCACATTTTGCATTTGATTAGGTTTTTTTCATCCACTATTCACAAAGATCTGCCCACTTTTCTGCGTGCAGCCGAAGCGTCTCTTTGAGGATGTTTTCTTCACCATAATTAAAGCTCAATTTTTGTGAAGTCAGTGCTTCTTAGAATCTGAAATTGCTGCGCTCAAGAGTCCTGCTTCGATTAGAGGGAGTCAGCTTGTCTCAAACAGGCACCACTTTCCTGACTCTGAAAGAATGAAAAACTTGGTGGGCCTGGTGAGGCATACAACCAGCGCTCTGGCGGCAGCATAATGGACGGGATTTACTATCACTGTGCTATCATTGTCTATTAGAGTATGTAAGAAAAAATTACTGAATACAGTTGACAATCGATTCGAGGTTGCAAAACCAGTGAGATGCTAGGAAGACGGTACAAAAAACTGCTGTTGACGGCGCGTTCGCATATACGTTTTACACCAAACGGCATCGTCACGTCTTGAGCGACGGCCATACCAATCTAGGAAATTTGACATTTATCGATGAAATTTG